TCCATTATCATTTGTTTCAAGAAATTTTTTAATTTTCTTCTTAATTTCTTTGTTGATCCACTGGTCTTTAAGGAGCATATTGTTTAATTTCCATGTGTTTGTATAGTTTTCAAAATTCCTCTTGTAATTGATTTCTTATTTTATTTCATTGTGGTCTGAGAAGATACCTGAGGCTGGGTTCAGGGGCACATATCTGTGGTCCTAGCTACTCTGGAGGATGAGGTGGGAGGATCACTTGAGCCTGGAAGGCAGAGGCTGCAGTGAGCTGAGGTCATACCACTGCACTCCAGCCTGGGCAAGAGTGAGACCCTGTCTCAAAAAAAAAAAAAAAAAAAAAGAGAGAGAGAGAAAGAAAGAAAAAAAAAACCTTGATATGATTTCAATTTTGTGAGTGATATTATTTCAATTTTTAAGACTTGTTTTGTGACCTAATATATTGTCAGTCCTTGTTGTACTATCCATGTGCTGAGGAAAAGAATGTGTATTCTGAAGCCATTGGATGAAATGTTCTATAAGCATTTATTAGGCCCATTTGGTCTACAATGCAGAGTAAGTCTGATGTTCCTTTGTTGATTTTCTGTCTGTCCAATTCTGAAAGTGGAGTGTTGAAATATCCAGCTATTTTTGTATTGGGGTCTACCTCTCTCATTAACTGTAATATTTGCTTTATGTATCTGGGTACTCCGATATTGAATGCATATATATTTATAATTATCTCCTCTTGATGAATTGATCCGTTTATCGTTATATAATGACTTTCTTTGATCCTTTTTACAGTTTTTGTCTTGAAATCTATTTTGTCCATTACAGGTATAGCCACTCCAGCTCTTTTTTGATTTTCATTGGCATGAAATATCCTTTTCCAACCCTTTATTTTTAGTCTGTGTATTTTCTTTATAGGTGAAGTATATTTCTTGTATGTAACAGATCATTACATCTTGTGTTTCTTATCCATTCAGCCAGTCTGTGTCATTGTATTAGAGAATTTAGTTTGTTTACATTCAGTGTTACTATTGATAAGTAAGGTCTTACGCCTGCCATTTTCTTATTTGTTTTCTGGTTGTTTTGTGGCCTTCTCTTCCCTCTTTTCTTCCTTTCTATCTTCCTTTTAGTGAAGGTAATTTTCTCTGGTGGTATGTTTTAATTTCTTGCTTTTTATTTTTTTGTGTGTATATTCATTGTATTTTTTTTATTTGAGGTTATCATGAGGCTTGCAAATAACTTATAGCCTGTTATTTTAAACTGATGACAACTTGACACTATTTGCACCAACAAACAAGCAATGAAAAAGAAATCTACTCTGTACTTTTAACTTTGTCCCCCACACACACACTTTTTGACTTTTTGTTATTTCTATTTATATCTTATGGTACTAAGTATGTCTTGAAAAGTTGTTGTACTTATTTTTGATTGGTTCATCTTTTAGTCTTTTACTTAAGATATGAATAGTTTACATACCACAATTATAGTTTTATAATATTATGTGGTTTTTGTGTACTTAGTATTACCAGTGAGTTTTGTACCTTCAGATCATCTTTTTATTGCTCATTAACATACTTTTCCTTTAAATTGAAGAATTCAATTTAACATTTCTTGTGGAACAGGTCTGATGTTGATGAAATTTCTCAGCTATTGTATGTCTGGGAAAGTCTTTATTTCTTATTTAGGTTTGAAGGATATTTTCACTGGAGATACTATTCTAGGGTGTAAGTTTTTTTCCCTCGGTACTTTTTGTCATACCACTCTCTTCTGGCCTGTAATGTTTCCATTGAAAAGTCTGCTGTCAGACATATTGGAGCTCCATGGTGTGTTATTTATTTATTTCTCTTTTTTTTTTTTTGAGTTGGAGTTTTGCTCCTGTTGCTCAGGCTGGAGTGCAATGGTGCAATTTCAGCTCTCTGCAACCTCCGCCTCCTGGGTTCAAGCAATTCTCCTGCCTCAGCCTCTTAAGTAGCTGGGATTACAGGCACCCACCACCACACCTGGCTAATTTTTGTATTTTTAGTAGAGATGGGGTTTCACCATGTTGGCCAAACTGGTCTTGAACTTCTGACCTTAGATGATCCACCTGCCTTGGCCTCCCAACATGCTGGGATTACAGGCGTGAGCCACTGCACCCGTCCTGTTTTTTCTTTTGCTTTTAGGATCCTTTCTTTATCCTTGACCTTTGGAAGCTTGATTATTACATGCCTCGAATGGTAGTCTTTGGGTTAAATCAGGTTCATGTATAACTTTCTTGTACTTGTATATTGATATCTTTGTCTAGAATTGGGACATTCTCTTTTGTTATCCCTTTGAATAAACATTCTGTTCCTGTCTCTCTCTGTCTCCTCCTTAAGGCCAACAACGGTTAGATTTGCCCTTTTGAAATTATTATCTAGATCTTATAGGCATGCTTCATTATTCTTTATTCTTTTTTCTTTTGTCCCTGTTGATAGTATATTTTCAAATAGCCTGTCTTAAAGCTTATCAATTCTTTAATCTACTTGATCACTTCTTCTGTTAAGAGACTCAGTATGTCATTTGCATTTTTCAACTCCCGAATTTTTGCTTGATTCCTTTTAATATTTCAACCTCTTTGTTAAATTTATCTCATAGGATTCTGAATTCCTTCTTTGTGTTTTCTTAAACTTCTTTGCATTTCCTCAAAATAGATCTTTTGAATTCTCTGCCTGAAAGGTCACATATATGTATGTCTTCGGGATTTGGTTCCTGGTACCTTATTTAGTTTGTTTTTCAAGGTCATGTCTTCCTCAATGGTCTTGATGCTTGTGGATGTTCATTGTGTCTGGGCATTGAAGAGTTAGGTATTTATTGTAGTCTTCACAATCTGGCCTTTTTTTGTACCTGTCTTGGGAAGGCTTTCCAGGTATTTGAAGAGAATTGGGTTTGTGATCCAGTTTTGGTCATTGCAGCCATATCTACATTAGGGGACACCCCAAGCCCAGTAATGCTGTTGTTCTTGCAGGCTTGCAGAGGTACTGCCTTGGTGGTCTTGAATAAGGTTTAGAAGAATTCTCTGGATTACCAGGTAGAGACTGTTGTTCTCTTCCCTTAATTTGTCCCAAACAATTGGAATCTCTGATTCCATGCTCCAAGCTGCTTGTAGCTAGAGGAGTGGTGACATAAGCTCTTCTGTGGCTACCACCACTGGAGCTGCACTAGGCCAGACCTGAAACCAGCACAGCATTGGATCTCACCCATAGCCCACTGTAACCACTACCTGGCTACCTCCTTTGTTGGCTTAGAGCCCTAGGGCTCTGCAGTGAGCAGGTGGCAAAGACAGTCAGGCTTCTACCCAGCCCTTCAGGACAGAGATGCTATCTGGGAGCCAGCATCCAGAGTTGGAAACCTTAGGACACTACCTGCTACTCTGTTCTCCTATAGCTGAACTGGCACCCAAACCACAAGAGAAAGTGCTTCCCACATTTCACTTTTCTTTCCATAGGCAAAACTGTTTCTCCCTATGGCCACTACCACTACAGGCCCACAGGGATAATTGCCAGGCTACTGCTCGTGTTTACTTAAGGCCCAAGGACTCTTCACTCAGCTTGTGGTGAATGCTGCCATGCTTTGGACTCGCCCTTCAGGGCATTGATCTCCCCTCTGGGCCAGGCAGGTCCAGGAATGCCATACAAGAACCAAGCCCTGGAATCAGGGACCCCAATTCCAGCCTGCTTGGTGCTCTGTTCTACTGTGGCTGAGCTGGTATCCAAGTTGCAAGACAAAGTCCTCTTTTCTTTTCCTTTTCTTCTGCTCAAGTAGAAAGAAGAGGTCTCTTTTGGAGCTGTGAACTGCGCTGCCTTATATTAAGGAAAGGGTGGCATAAGCACTGCCTTAGGCACCTCAGCTGGTGTCTCATTAGGTTACATGCCCCCCTCAAAGTCCAGTAGCTTTTGAGCCCAGCAAAGCACTAAGACTTGCCTAGAAATCGCAGTTCTTGTGGCCTAGACTACCTTTCGGGATTTTTTCAGGCCCCAGGACACTTTAGCCTGTAGTGATGAGGCTTGCTGAAACTCAGGCTCTGACCACTGGGATGGACATTTCCCCTCTGGCTAGGGCACATCTAAATTCTCCCTCTATGGGCATTGGCTGAGTTCTTTGCCAATAGCCTGGGTATTGCTTGCCAATTAGCCTGGTGTTGCTTTCTGCTATGACATGGCAGCACTGAGTTCCAGTGGAAAGCCCCACAGTCACTGTGCTCTCCCTCCCCCAAGCACACAGATTCTTTACACCACACAGCCACCGCATTGGGGGTGGGGAAGGGGTGGCATAGACAATTCAAGACTGTCTTTCTACTCTCTTCATTGCCTCTTTCAGCAATATAAAGTTAAAATCGGCTACTGTGATCACTCACCTGATTTTTGGTTCTTGTGAAGGTGCTTTTTTGTGTAGTTAGTTATTAAATTTGGTTTTCCTTTGGTGGGGCAGCAATTGGTTGAGCCTTCTAATCAGCCATCTTGCTTCATCTCCCTCCAATAGGTTTATTTGGGGCCAAAAATAAAAAGACTTTAGAATTATTTAATTTTTTTCTTTAAAAGATATAGATGATTGTCTTATAATCTTCAGGTTTGTGCTCTGAAATGCAAGAGCAATTTGCTATAATGAAAAGCTAGAAGTTTTGAGAACACTTTGTTGTCTAATTCTAAAACAACAACAACAGAAAAACAGAACTTTGCTAGCTGGCTGTGTCTACTTTCATTCTTTGATTAGATACTTTGAGTTCCAGATACCATGAGGTGTTGATATGACAGCATGTTATGATAGAAATTTTTAGAAAAGACCAGAGACTTGAGAAGTAGACTAACCTGCATGTAAAATTCAGCTCCGTCACTTTTGCTCTGGTATTTTGGGCAAGTTATTTAACTTCCTTTGTAAAGTGAAAATTATACTTCTTTAGAGTTGCTATGAGGATGAAAGCACTCCAAGTGAGTTCTTGTTAAATGGTAGATGTATAAGGAATACCATGTAGTAATGATTATATGTTTTGATATTGTCAGGTGAAGTGAAGGACAAAAATGTTCAAGTGGTCGAGCTTCCCATTGTAGACAGTCTTCATCCCCGTCCTCCATATTTACCTTTGGCTGTACCAGAAGACCTCGCAGATCGACTTGTACGAGTGCATGGTGACCCTGCAGTGTGGTGGGTGTCTCAGTTTGTCAAATACTTAATCCGCCCACAGCCTTGGCTAGAAAAGGAAATAGAAGAAGCCACCAAGAAGCTTGGCTTCAAACATCCAGTTATTGGGTAAGAACCTGATTTTTTTCCTCTAACTATGATATGTAGTGGTAGGGTTATGTATCTTTACAATATATTGTTAATTTTATAATATATAGTTTAATTTTTATAGCCCCACCAAAGAATGGAGGTTCTAGAGTTATCCTAAGGTCACAGGGAGACTATTCTTTTTTTTGTCTACTTAGAACAGCGGAGAAAATTGCTTAGTAGTGCTCTATTACTGTCTCCAGCACTCCTCTTTCTTTGGTTCCTTCTTCCCTTACCACAGTTCTCTTTTGACTTCTGTTGTTGTTGTTTTTGAGATAGGGTCTCACTCTGTCACCTAGGCTGAAATGTAGTGGCTCACTGCAGCCTCAACCTTCCTGGGCTCAAGTGATCCTCCTACCTCAGCCTCCCAAGTGTAATAGCTGGGTCTATAGGCATGTACCACCATGTCCAGCTTCTTTTTATTTTTATTTTCATATTTCCCACCTCGCCATGTTTCCTTGTGTCTTAGTCTTCATATGTAGAGAAGTTATTGACCCCATTCTAAGTATTAGAGCTAAAGGAAGGTACATGTGAAATCAGAATATCAAATTACATTGCTTCTCATGTAACTTTTGATTGAAATTCAGCGGAATCATTCATTCTGCCCGACTTCATCTCTATAGAGCACACTGAACAATTCCCATTTCCCCAGAGAAAGGATGAGTATGAAGGATGTGGGAAGGAAAAAATGATCGAATTAGATGTTCATATGATTGTATCCACATCTGGATTATAGTCTGAAATGCAAAGCAAAGAATAGCCATGAAGGTGGCAGAGTAACTCTAAGGAAATCAAACCCTCACTCCAGATTCATAATAAAAAACTGTCCTTAGACTTGGCCTAAGGCATACCCATATGCTGTGACGTAAAGGCACACAAATCTACCTTTTTCTGTTTCTGCATATGAACAGTGATTTAGCAGTTTGGGGGGAGGGGAAGGCAAGATTTAAGGAGGGTCTTTTAATTTCTGAAAATAAACTGTTTTTATTTCCGTTAATACTACTTTGGGGCCAGGCTCTGTGGCTCATGCCTATAATTGCAGCACTTTGGGAGGCTGAGGTAGATGAATCACTTGAGCCCAGGAGTTTGAGAAAACTCAACCTAGGCAACATGGTTGAAACCCCATCAATACAAAAAAAAAAAAAAATGCAAAAATCAGCCAGGCATGGTGGCACATGCCTGTAGTCCCAGCTGTTAAGGAGGCTGAGGTAGGAGGATCACTTGAGCCTGGGAGGCAGAGATTGGAATGAGCCATAATTGTGCCACTGCACTTTAGCATGTGCAACAGAGCAAGATCTTGTCTTTAAAAAATTACTTTGGAAGAACTAAGATGGGAGGATAATAGTCAGTGCCTTATTCCGCACAGTACAGTGTGAATTGGTGTCCGCAATTTTACAATTTTGGGCTTTTCTTAAATATGACAGATGAAATCAGTATCTGCTCACACTTGATATGGTGAAAAACAGAGAAAGAAAATTCATTATGCCCACAACAGAAGGGCTGGAATTGGCTCCATTTACCTAAAACAGTAAAAACCCTTAAAAGGTTTGCCTGTCTTAACGGTGCTGTAAAAGTTTATCCAGGTCTATGTTTTTCTTGGACAACTTTAAGTTCTGCTAGCTGGCAGTTAAAGTGAGTCTACAGGGTAAAATAAAGAGAAAAACCCTTGGCATCAGAACTTTACAAATAATATATTTAATGTTCTTTAGTAACAACTGTGAATCCTGGCATCATCCTGGTAACAAAAATCTTAGGTTATATTCAGTTTTTTTCCAGACAGCTGGTTGCTGCCTAGCATGAAATGCCACTCTGAAATCTCCCATTTATTCCTAAGATGTGAATTATTTTCTCTGTAAGAAAGCATTCTTCAAAGGCTTTGCTTATTTTCTAATTCCCCTTATATTGTTTAGCCTGCAAATATATTTAGAATACGTATTTTTGAATTTTTTAAATGCTATATGTTTTACTTTTTCTAATGGTGAAAATGAAAGAAAAATAAGTTTAAAATACCTATAATTCCACCATAAGTAGGGGTATAAATTGAGTACCCCCAAAGCACTCAGTGGATCAATACATTATCAGCAGAATCTGAATTTCTCCCCCAGAGTCCATGTCAGACGCACAGACAAAGTGGGAACAGAAGCTGCCTTCCATCCCATTGAAGAGTACATGGTGCATGTTGAAGAACATTTTCAGCTTCTTGCACGCAGAATGCAAGTGGACAAAAAAAGAGTGTATTTGGCTACAGATGACCCTTCTTTATTAAAGGAGGCAAAAACAAAGTAAGTTAGACCAACTAGTGATTCTGGAGTGGGGTTTTCTCTTTCAGTTTAAAAGAATTCTTCCCATGACTTGTGATTTTTTTATATTATTATTGTTAATTATTAGGGTTTTAAAAATTCAAGTGACTTTGTACTTGTCTAACTGTCAATCTAGTCAATGCATTTTTATTAGCCATATCCAAGAATACCTTATAAGAAGTGTAAATTGAACGGGACCACTGACATGCATTGTCACCAGCAATAATCATGATCGTCATTAAAAATATCACCCTACTTCTTGGTACCAAAATTTTCATTAGCCTGTTGGAGCTGCCATAAAAAAATAACAGACTGAGTGGCTTAAATTACAGGAATGTATTTCTCTTAGTTCTGAGGCTGGGAAGATCAAGATCAAGGTGCTGGCAAGGTAGATTTCATTTTCTCTTGGCTTGTAAGCAGCCACTATTTCACTGTGTGCTCTTGTGACCTCTTTGTGTATGCAGGGAGCAGGAGAGTAAGTGTTCTGATGGCTCTACATATAAGGACACTAATCTTAATGAGGGCCACACTCTCATGACCTCATCTAGGCCAAATTATTTCTCAGTGGTCCCATTTCCAAACATCACATTGGGGTTAGGGATTCAACATAGGAATTTGTGGGGACATAAACAGTCAGTTGATAATACTATCCAGCTATACAGACTATTAGCAATAAAACCAGGTGCTTACCATTCTGATTTCACTGTTTTCACTAAGAGTTATAGGCAACTGAACACATATGTAAAGTTTTGTCTTATAATAATTTTGGAATTTGAAAGTTACACTAAAGAAAGGTAAGGAATCAAAAAGTTAAGTTTTGTAAGTGGAGGACTAAAGACTACTAGTGTGTATTGAAGATCATTTTGTGAGCTTACCTATATTTCAGGCATTGTGCTGGGTGCTGGGGATTTTATGATAAGCAAGGTACTCCCTGCTGTCAAGGAATTCCCAAATGTAGTAGGGGAATAAACAGTTACACTACACTGTATCACTATTCTAGGGTTAACATGGGATATCATGAAAACACATAGATAAAGCACAAATCCTAACTGGACACTTCTTACAGGATCTGGGTAAACCTGGAGTTGTTCTTTATTTACTGTCAATAAAGGAAGGACGTATTAAATGTATGTGAAAGTAGGAAATTAAGGAGAAGAAAATTCTAGTCTTAGTTCTGCTTAGATACTGTGTCCTCCAGAAGTTATCCCTGAACCCTTGACTGGCTTGTGTTCCCTACTCTATGCACTCCTCTGTTGTAGTTGTAGTCTTTAGCACTTGCTTACTTCTGTCTCCTTCATTAAATTATAAGCACTTGGACATAATATGTAGCTGTAGATAAATGCCCAGTAAATATTAACTGATGTGATTTCAATCCGATCAGTTTGAAAACATTAACAGTTAATCATTTAAACTTTTTGGCTGTTTAATTAATGTATTTATTGTTCCCCATATTTCAAATGGGGGTGAGGAAAAGAAATTTCAAAATGAGGACTATGGTGCAGGTATTAATCTAACTCATTAGATAACAATTAAATCCTCTTTCTACCTCTGAATACTCCAAACTAACCTGAAGCAAATTGCCTTTTTTATTCAAGGCTTCCTCTCTTGAGCATGTATACACACTGGCATATATATGCGCACTCACACACACACACAGATACTTATATATGTAAACAAAGGGCAAATAATCAGCCAAGTAATCATGATTTAATGTAAGAGAGGTTTAATGAACATTTGGATACAGAACACAATAAAAAATTTACACCAGACTTAATTTGTAGCTTGGTTGAAGTAAAAGATACTACTTTTGTCTACTCTTTCATTTGTTCTTGAATGCATCACAAACTTTTCTCCTTATTTTCTTAATGAGCAAATTAATTCATGCTTGTTTAAAAATACGGAAGTTGGTAAATACTGTATTCGTTCATTTTCATGCTGTTGATAAAAGTCATACCCCAGACTGGGCAATTTACAAAAGAAAGAGGTTAAGGGACTTATAGTTACATATCTCTGGAGAGGCCTCACAATCATGGTGGAAGGTGAAAGGCATGTCTCACTTGGCGGCAAATAAGAAAAGAGAGCGTGTGCAGGGGAACTCCCATTTTTAAAACCATTAGCTCTTGTGAGACTTATTCACTATCACAAGAACAGCCTGGGAAAGACTTGCCCCTGTGATTCAGTTACCTCCCACTGGGTCCCTCCCACAGCTCATGGGAATTCAAGATGAGATTTGGGTGGAGACACAGCCAAACCATATCATTCCAACCCTCCCAAATCTCATGTCCTCACATTTAAAAACCAGTCATACTTTCCCAGCAGTCCCCCTAAGTCTTAACTCATTTAAGCATTAACTCAAAAGCCCACAGTCCAAAGTCTCATCCAAGAGAAGGCAAGTCCCTTCTGCCTATGATCCTATAAAATCAAAAGCAAATTAGTTACTTCCTAGATACAGTGGGGATACAGGCATGGATAAGTACAGCCATTCCAAATGGGATAAACTGGCCAAAACAAAGGGGCTACAGGTCCTATGAAAGTCCGAAATCCAGTGGGCAGTCAAATCTTAAAGCTTCAAAATGATCTCCTTTGACTCCATGTCTCACATCCAGGTCACACTGATGCAAGAGGTGGGCTCCCACAGCCTTGGGTAGCTCCACCCTTATTGTTTTGAAGGGTATAGTCCCCCCCCCACCCCCACCAGCTGCTTTCACTGGCTGGCATTGAGTGTCTGTGGCTTTTCCAGGTACATGGTGCAAGCTGTTGGTGGATCTGCCATTCTGGGGTCTGTAGGACAGTGGCCCTCTTCTAACAGCTCCACTTGGTGGTGCCCCAGTAGGGACACTGTGTGGGGGCTCCAACCCCACATTTCTCTTCTGCACTGCCCTAGCAGAGGTAACCATGAGAACCTCATTCCTGCAGCAAACTTCTGCCTGGGCATCCAGGTGTTTTTATATATCCTCTGAAATCCAGGCAGAGGTTCCTAAACCTCAGTTCCTGATTTATGTGCATCTGCAAGCCTAACACCATGCAGAAGCTGCCAAGGCTTAGGGCTTCCACCCTCCGAAGCAACAGCCTGAGCTGTACTTAGCCATTTTTGTCATGGCTGGAGTGCCTGGGACAGAGGGCACAGCAGAAGGACTCGGGCCCCTGCCCACAAAACCATTTTTTCCTCCTGAACCTCCATGTCTGTGATGTGAGGGGCTGCCACAAAGTCTCTGACATGATCTGGAGACATTTTCCCCATTGTGTGGGTGATTAACATTCAATTCCTGGTGACTTATGCAAATTTCTGCAGCTGGCTTGAATTTCTTCTCAGAAAATGGGATTTTCTTTTCCATCACATTGTCAAGTTACAGATTTTCCAAACTTTTATGCTCTGCTCCCCTTATAAAACTGAATGCCTTTATCAGCACCCAAGTCATCTCTTGAAAGCTTTGCTGCTTAGAAAGTTCTTCTGCCAGATACCCTAAGTCATCTCTCTCAAGTTCAAAGTTCCACAAATCTCTAGTGCAGGGACAAAATGTTGACAGTCTCTTTGCTAAAACATAAGAGTCACCTTTGCTCCAGTTCGCAACAAGCTCTGAGACCACCTCAACCTGGATTTCATTGTCCATATTGCTATCAGCATTTTGGGCAAAGCCATTCAACAAGTCTCTAGGAAGTTCCAAACTTAACCACATTTTCCTTCTTCTGAGCCCTCCAAACTGTTCCATCCTGTGCCTATTACCCAATTCCAACATCACTTCTACATTTTTAGGTATCTTTTCAGCAGCACTCCACTTCTGGTACCAATTTACTGTATTATTAAATTAGTCCATTTTCACACTGCTAATAAAGACTTACTCGAGACTGGGCAATTTACAAAAGAAAGAGGTTTAATGGACTTATACAGTTCCACATAGCTGGGGAGGCCTCACAATCATGGTGGAAGGTGGGAGGCATGACTCACATGGCGTCAGACAAGAGAAGAGCTCTTGTGCAGGGAGACTCCTGTTTTTAAAACAGTTGAATCTTGTGAGACCTATTCACTATCACGAGAACAGCACAGGAGAGGTTTGGGAACACAGCCAAACCATATCATTTCCCTAGCAAGGAAAAAATATTATCCTCAATTCCATGTATGTAGTGTCATTTTTTAATACAGTCGGGTACCACATAACATTTCAGTCAGTGATGAAACAGCTGTATAATGGTGGTTCCATAGATTATAATACTGTACTTCTGTACTTTTTCTACGTTTAGATGCACAAATACTTACATTGTGTTACAACTACCTTCAGTATTCAATACAATAACATGCTGTACAGGTTTGTAGCCTAGGAGCAGTAAGTTATTCCATATAGCCTATGTGGGTATGTATGTGTAGCCTAGGTATTGCGTAGTTGGCTGTGCCATCTAGGTTTTTATAAATACACTTTATGATGTTTGCATGGTGATAACATTGCCTAATGATGCATTTCTCAGAACATATCCTCTTTGTTAAGTGGAGCATGACTGTAGTTGATTGAATTCTATATAATTTAAACCCTTTTCACTTAATATAGCAATAGATCCATTCCCTCGGGTTGCTAAAACAGTCATTGTAAACATCTTTTATTTTTCTGCTTTGTCACCCAGGCTGGAATGCGGTGGTGCAAGCATGGCTCACTGCAGCCTCAACCTCCTGGGCTCAAGAGATCCTCCTTCCTCAGCTTCCCAAGTAGCTGGGACCGTTGGCATGCGTCATCATGCCTGGCTGCCTTTTGGGGGTAGAGATGGGATCGCATGCTGTTCAGGCTGGTCTGGAACTCCTTGGCTCAAGCAGTCCTCCCGCCTGTCCTCCAAAGTGCTGGGATTACTGATGTGAGCCACCATGCCCAGCCTAAACATCTTTTTTAATGACTACGTACATATATACTGTATGGATATGCCATTGCTTATTTGACCAACTGTTCTCCTAATATTAGACAGTCAGATTATTTCCAATGTCTCATTCTTATAAGCAATGCTTTGATGTATGCCTAATTATCCACATTATTTCCTTAAGCTAGCTTTCTAGAGTTGGAAGTATTTAGATGCAAGGATATAAACTATTTTTTTTTTAGACAGTGTCAAGGCTGGAGTGCAGTGGCAGGATCTCAGCTCACTGCAACCTTGACCTCCTGGGTTCAATGATCCTCCTCCCTCAGCCACCTGAGTAGCTGGGACTACAGGCTCATGCCACCACACCCAGCTAGATATAAACATTTTATAGCTTTGATCCATAGCACAGCATGACAGTTTTATACTAACAACCCTTGTAATACAATTGGCAGTATGTACTTGGACTGCAAGAATAGTAAAACTAGAATTTCCTCCTTGTAGCCAACAGCTATAACTCCCCTCCCAGTGGTAGTCCAAGCAGCAATTTTTCTCTATATTCTGTTATAAATATAGTAGTAGCCTTTTATGCATACTTTTTTCTCTTTGTAAGTTGTTTTATTTTTATTTTTGACTTGAGTCATTTCTCAGGGATTTAAATGCTGGGGTTTTTTTTCTTTTTTCTTTTACTTAAATGTTTTTCCACTCTGATTTAACTCTGCTTTAAACCACCCAGGACTGGTATTGATACCTAAGCAAATCATAAAACCTCTGTCATTCTTTTAGGAGACCAAAATCATGAATTAATCTCCTAACAAAGTATATAGTGTCCAAGGTAGTCATTATAAGACTTTTCTGCTTCAAGAGAGTGAAGAGATGAAGAATTAAACTTAAATGATGTATAGTGTTCACAAAGTCAGAGAAGAAGCCATTTTCTGGGTTGCTCATTCTTTGAAAAGAGGTTCAAATTTGCTTTATACACATAGCTTCTATGTGAAGACGATCAGTTAATGCTTTGTGGCTTGGTATTACACTTCAGACTTCTCCATGTTAAGATTTAGTTCATCCACAAGATTTTACCACCAGCATCCCAGTGACTGTGGCAGCCATTGCTATTGTACCAGTCTTTTAAGTAGTTCAGTATTACAGTGTTTGAGTCACAGAATCATTGATAGTCAAAGAAATAACCATTAAAGTTGGCTATCCAATATTGTATTCTAAGATTGTGGAGATTAGGGATGGGGTTAAAATAGGAAGAAAAACAAGTCTTCAAAAGTCTCCCAGGTAAAATATTTACATATTGAGTTTATTTTTTATTTTTAACATGCTGTACTTCTACTGTACTTTTTCAATGTGTAGATACACAAATACTTACCATTGTGTTACAACTTGTTAAAAGTTTTAATTTGTTAAAAGTTTTTGTGAAGTATTTGGTTGCCCTGTGAAACGAAGAATCAGCAATGAGTAGTATATTTGTTCACTGTTTTACTGAACCCCTATAATACGCTGGACACAGCACAGAGCACTAGGAATACAAAGTCAAAAGATAATATGTGGCTCCTTGTCTCAGGGAGTAACCAACGGGTAGACAATATACATGTAACACATAATTACTGTATATTTAGATAAGTTTCCTGAAGGAGTCTATGTACCAGGTACTGAGAAGTCACAAAGAGGAGTATCTCCTTCAGTCAAGAGAAGGACTTCAGAAAAGAACACCAGATAATAGTTTATAACTGTAAGCTAGTCCTTTGTTGATGATATAAAAATAAATTTTTATAAGGTGGAAAAAGAAAAATAAATTATTATTCCCAGTATCTGTAACCTCAAGGTAGAAGAATTCCTCCACTGACATACTTGAGGGCAAAAGACAAGAAGCATGTTTGTGCAAAAAGTTTCATGCTCATTATGAAAGATATAAAATTTCCTTCTTCCATTATTCACTTTATTTTGTTTGTGTATGTTTTGTTTTGTTTTACATTTAGGTATCCTTTATGGAGCCATAGAGATAGGCCCAAGGGAACTCTTTTGTACATAGAGATGGGCCTGAGAGGAACTTAGGTACCTTTTAAAAAAAAATAGTGGTGGGGTTTTGCTATGTTGTCCAGGCTGGTCCTTGAACTCCTGAGCTCAAGCAATCTGCCTTCCTCAGCCTCCCAAAGTGCTGGAATTATAGGTGTGAGCCACCACACCCAGCCTTAGGTACCCTTTTGATTTTGTTCGGGAGAGAGCTGCTTTAGTTAAGAAGGCGTTAATGTTAGTGTTACTTCTTGGTAAATTTTTTTCTTTGTTTCACTGAGCATCCAAATCATTCTGACAAAGTTAAGTCTTTATTCAAGGATAAAACCTATACTGGTTTTATCAGTTCCCCCTTTCTATCACCTTCCAGCATTTCATATTTCTTTATTGCTGTTTCTGCTCCATGCCTGGGTATGCAGCTTCACAAGAATCACATTTAAACTATTTCTGGTTGTTTTCTTTTCAGAACAAATGTGACATTTTCTTCATCTCCTTGACTTTGAGCTGAAGAGGGCAAACTGTCAAAAATAATGAGGCCAAATGGATTTGAACACTGAGTATAGTCTGAAACAGTGCTCAGAGACTTTGCCTTTATAGTCATTATTACAGAAGCAATGAGGGAAAGCTCCTTGGTGGCCATGAAATGAAGAGAAACTGAATCAGCTCTTAGGGGATTAGGAAAAGTCCCAGGCATAGGTAGCACTCACTTGTTCAGGTATTTATTCACATAGCATTGTGTTGAGTGCTAGATGCTGTGATCCAAAGAAAAATAAGTCATGGTCCTAACCTCTTTTGGAATACTGTTTGGAAGACAGACATGTAAAAATGGTTCAGGGTTTCTATATAGGCACTATTATTCTTTCAGCAAATATTTATTCCTCCTCTATTATGTTCCAGATTGTCTTCTGGGTGTATAATACAGAATAAATGCCTCCTTTTCAAGGACTTATATTCCCATTAGGGATAATGCAAGTGGAGAATGGAAGCAGGCAGTACACAAACAGTAAATATATATTATATCAAGTAATAAGAGCTATGGAGAAAAATGTGGCTGATAAAAGAGATAAGGATTGCTGCACTCCTCACCAATAAGGTGATATTTAAGCAGAGATCTAAAGAAGTAAGGAATAAAACCAGGTGGACATCTAAGGGGAAAGAATGCTTTATAATGATAGCTAATATTTATTGAGCATTTACTATACCAGGTACTCTTCTAAGCACTTTACATCATTTAATGTATTACTTCTTATGAACTTCTATAAGGTAGGTAAAATTATTGTTCTTCTTTCATATAACTTCCCAAGGTTTACAGCTTATCTCTGAAGATCTAGCTCATGCACTGAGAAATGATTCCATCTATACTAGAGTACAAGTAAACCTTGAATTCAGAGTAGAATCATTGGAACGTATGATAGACTTTTTAAAAGATATCCTGGATGAATACTTTTAAACACACACTCTATCTCTAGCAAGACTACCAAAATATTGGACATCTATAAGGAATGTGCTTCCATAAATTTATTAGAATGGACTTTCTATTACTGTTGTTAGGTAAAAGTAGATGGTTCTTTAAGAAGGATGCAGGTTAAGGGAAACTGTTCTCACAAATTTTTAGAATATTCATCTCTTAACTTCTTTGTATTATTAACTTCTAATGTCAATGAAGAAGGCATTTACAAAGTCTAACCCAAATCTGAATTATCAAAAATTCTAAATTAAAAATTTTAATGTGGTTTTATCACGATATTTATATTCTAAAGGAAAAGCTCAGTGACCAAATATGAAAGCAGTTTGAAGAAACTCTTAGAAGTCACTCATTACAAAAAGAAAAAGGAGACCTCAATTTTGTCTATTTCGTGAATTGATAAAGGACATTTTGATGTTCATATGTGTGTCTTATATGTTATGCCAATAAAGTTTAATATACAGGCATTTCAGAGTGGTTTCTGCCCCATTGATGGACTTCTAAGATGCCTCATCAACTACACAATTAAATGCCGTAATTAAAGGTCTCTTTTCTGTTAGAAAGCTCTTAGTCAAAGTAGCATGTCTACCTTCTGATAGGATACTGTGTTTTCTGTGACTATCTATAAATTAATTTCTTTTTTCAGGTACCCCAATTATGAATTTATTAGTGATAACTCTATTTCTTGGTCAGCTGGACTGCACAATCGATACACAGAAAATTCACTTCGTGGAGTGATCCTGGATATACATTTTCTCTCTCAGGCAGATTTCCTTGTGTGTACTTTTTCATCCCAGGTAAGGCAGACTTCCTTGTGTGTACTTTTTCATCCCAGGTAATACCATCTCAGTAGGGTATTTTAAAATAACCAGTACTTTTTGGTTGTATAGGAGTCAAAAAAAATATTTGTATGACTGTGTGTTTTTAATGTTCATTATTGTGACTCAGGTGCAATTTTTCTGATACTCAGTAGTGATCCCTTTTGTGAAAGAAGAAAAGATCCCATAAAATAGCCATTCAAATACACTGAATATTTAGTTGTTTACAAGCAGTGGTTGACTACATCTCCACTGAACCCAGTTACTAGAGTTGTTTAAAGTACCTGGCTTGTTCACAGCATTTAACAGAAACAAGTAATTAAGCTTACTTAATACTTTCTAATTTTGCATATAGTCAATACATAACCAGAATCCATTCATTTCTACACATCAGTGCACTGATACTGAGAGGCTTAAATGCCCTAAATTTTGCCTGAGTTAATTGCTTTACAGAAAGGAGTGTAAATGTAATTCCCTTTCAAGTTCTATTACATTTCTACCAAGTGAGAAACTGTATGTTAAATTCAAGCAATACACTATCACAATTATTCTTTGAATTTAATTGTTGCAGATGATTATATTTTACAGGTTTGGTGTATGTGTTTTTATGAGTGGTCCAATCAGCTTTATATGCCGTGTGGAATATCAGTGTAACAATATTTATTGTGGATTTTATTTTGTTCTCTTATTTATGCACATATTATTGGTTAGTTCATTCAGCCAGCTGCCAAATGCTCTCAAAATTATACTAGATGCAGAGGAGATTTCAAAGGAGATTGAAGATACAGTTCTTGCCCTCATCCAGAATCTAATAAGCAAAATACACACATGAAATGACTAGAGAATAATTACCAGAACATATAAATTGGTATAAGATAAATGTATGCTTAAATGCTGAGAAGCAGAGAAAAGAATATGTTAAAAAAAAAAAAAAAGCCACATCATTTTCATGAGAGTATACTTCAGAGAGTAAAAGAAATGGATACTTTTTTATTATATTACAATATATGTTGTAATGATACAATTTTTGGAAAGATACCTATCCAGGCAAAGGTTACAAATTCCTTCAATATGGAATAAGAATACAGCTTTCTACCCAAAGATAGCTGCACAGAACACATAGCAGCAATCTTAATCAGGAGGGAAAATTTCTTCAGGTTCCCATGAAGGCATCCACTATTGATGTTTCTCCCTAATTGGATTGCAGATGCTATCTTTAAGAAACTCTCATTTCCATTCTTATTGGAAGAAAGGAGCAAGGTTTATAACTACTTGGTTCCTTCCAACTGTTTTTGAGATTCTGACTATGTACCTGCCTGATCAACAGATATATGTAACTGGTAACAACCTCCAAATATTCTTGATGCTTATTGTTAGAATGAGTGAATGAAGAGTCACTTTCCCAAGTATGCCACCTTTTCTGTAGGCCTGGATTTTAGGCCTGCCTGAAGTCAGCTCCTCTAGTCCAGGTTTCTCAAACAAGGCATTATTTTGAGCCAGATAATTCTTTGTTGTGAGGAGCCGTATTGTGCACTATAGGATATTTAAGCAGCATCCCTGGCCGGTAAGACCCTCACTTCAAGTTATGACAACCAAAAATGTCTTCAGACATTGCCAGATGTCCCCTGTGGGGCAAAACTGCCCTGGATGAAAACCACTGTTCTAGTCATAAGATTCTAAAATTAAATAAATATATACATCTCTGAATGTTGACCAACCTCACATGTAGGTCGGCACTGAGACTTACAGGATTGTACTCATGTTTTGCTTTTCTTCTTTCAGCCCACCTAAGTAATAGGCTTATTCTGGAATAGAAGGAAGTTTTTTTTTCTTTACTCTTTTTTTTTTCCTTTTTGAAGTTATACTTTAGAATTTTGGATCCTCATAACTTCTTTTGACCTAGAAATCGGGATCTCTGTCACTTCATGATGGTAGAATTCTGTCCAGGAGGAGATAAAAATACCTCACATTTATATAGTGAGTAGCAGTTTGCCTAATGTGATTACCTTCATTATCGCATACCTGATTGGATGACTAACAGCTGTAGCATTTGAAATTGTAGAATAATTTCATATTCAGTGATAAATCTTTGGGCTTACTTGTACCTCAGTATTTTTTTCAAATGTTTTAGTAAAGAAGTATTTAGTAAAGTTTAATGTTTTTGCAGTGTGAGTGAAATTGATTGCAGGATTATTATATAGCTTCTCTTACCATAAACCAGAATTGGAATTGTTTAAAAATGCCTAGAAATATGTTGTCATCATTGCCAATAGAGCATAAGAAAATGTCACTGATGGGATAAAATGCCAAGCCATTGACCACGGATCACAGAACAAGAATGAGGCAACCTGTGCTGTGGAGTCAGGCTATCTATATTTGAGTCCAGCTTTGACCATTTAGTGGCTGTTTGGCCTTGAAAAAAGTACTTAGCCTGTCTCTTAACTGGTTTATTTTTCTACATGTGAAAAAATAATAGTACCTATACTATAGAGTTTTATGAGGATTAAGGAGTTATAAAAAGTAAAGCACTATGAATAGTACCTAGCAATATAGCATTAAACACATTTGCTGCTATTATTATATATATGGATAGGTAAAGTAATGTCTCTGCCTTTTAGAGAGACTCTGTAGTATTTATTTTGCAGTTCTTTTTCACATGACTTCATTTCAGACTATATGCTCTCACATTTATGAAACAAACTATTCAAGGACTTCATTAGCTCTGCTTAGGTTTATAAGTAAAACGAACGGTTAACATTCAGCATGTACATTTCTCTGGGCCAGTGTACCACCTCAACTTCATTTTGTTTAGCTTTTTGAAAGAGAATATTGCCATATGATGTGATTTTTCAGAAACAAAGTTCTTCATTCGCAAAAGGTGAGTGAAGTCCTAGTATTTCTATGGCAAATGCAAGTAAATGTGTGTGTGTTGACTTTTGGGAAATTAATCTTCAGACTTTCCTATATATGTCATAGGCATTCTAGAAAACAGAGGAAGACTAAAGCCATACATCCAGAAGAGTGACAAAAGATAAACATTGAGAATAAGTTCAGCCCAGAATAAAAACATGGATAACCAACTCTCAACTTTCTTTGATGATAATCTCATGTGCCAAGAGATGTTAGGAAGTGATACAAGTTTAATATCTCTTTCAGAATTCTTTGACAGTCTTTAAGTTTTACTCATGTAAGCTTTCTATCTCCTATACACTATCCTTTGAGTAATGTTATACCATATAACAATAGTGAAAAAGAGTTGACCTGTTGACCATGATCTATTATAGACAGTACTGCAGGAGTGAAATGCCGTGCTAGAAGGATAAATACAAGGCTGGACATTTGAAAAACTGCAGGCAAAAATGTCATGGCACCTTAATCAGAATTTCTCATAAGTTTTTAGACCCATCTTCCTCAGTCTCAGGGCTTCTAATCTTTCTTGGTTTTATATCCATAAGTGAGGTCCGGGAATTCTCTCTTCTTAAAAGATAAATTTTTTAAAGCCAACACTGTGGCTCTACTCTCTAATTTTATTACTATTATTGCTCTTAGCTTTCTGAATTCCTTCATCAGATCTGTTTCTCAAAGCCAAGTTTGTCCTAAAAGCCTCATAAATTGAATAGCACAGTCCTTAGGATTTAATATGAAAATTGGAGGCAATATTAGCATTTTTTCAGTTGCATCAGGTGAATTTTGAAAGCTATGCAATCACATTCTAAAACATTCTGCCAAATACATGAATCCTCTTCTAGGTTACTGGAAATGGCCTTTGCACAAAGCATCTCCTTTGTCACTTATTTTCTTATTTGAATCTTAAATCTGAAGCAAAGAATTTATAGTTGGAGAACAACAGCAGTTGACAGCCCAGTTGTAGATGGGCACAATATCAGCAAGGTTTTCTGAAAATACTGCTTATCGAGTTCTGGGATCAATTTTTATTTTTCTGAAATCTGACTTACGAAAATGGTTGTAGCTGCTCACTTTAAAGACTTTAACATTGTTAAAGACATTGTTTAAAGAGCAGTCAATGTTACTCAGTAGTTTCAGCCACTGGTTTATGTTTTCTACATGTGAAAAATTAATAGTACCTATAGTATAGAGTTTTTGTGAGGATTAAGGAGTTATAAAAGTCACCGTAGTACAAAATCACCTTTTTCCGCTATGGCACCTCCCTTTATGGCAGTTATTACAATACTCTCATGAGCCTCTCTGTGGTCTAATTCCAAATCCGCACACAACTCTGCTGCCCTCATGACACTTAGAATCAGAATTTGGAAGCCCAGAGGGCAAAACCGAAAACTGTGCTAACTATTCCAGACAGATGGCTCTGGATAGGAATTTCCATTGAGATTTGGCTCATGAAACAACAGTGGATACCTGTTGAGGGTACTATGGAGAAAGCACAGGGTGAAAGCCCAAGGTGTGAACTCTGTGACTACTTAAGTGCAGAAGACAAGAAAAGTATTTGCATCCACAGGGTCTCTAGCTTACAATGCTGAGTGCTGTACAATGCAGCTGTTTATCACATTAATCCTTCTGGCATTTCTCACAACAAAGAAAAGACCTTGGTCTTATTCTCCTTATTGCATAGGAAAACAAAGCAGTTCATAGGGAAAGTGCACAGATCTCTCAACCACTTCCAACTTCTCACACTAGTTGATCCTCCTGCCCTTTCTATCTATTTTGACAAATATAAGATCCTATCTGCCTTGAGAAAGTGTGGGAGGCTTATGTAAACTCAGGCTACTTCTCAGGGATGAAATTCAGACCAATGGATGCCTCCCCCTTTTTAATTTTTTTTTATATAGTCATACCTGGTTTATCCTTTGGCAGGATTTTTGCTATTACCCATTACTGTGCACTTTATGATGTACTAAAAATGATACAGTGCCATGTAAATACAGAATAAAGTGAAACATACTACATGTAGCCAGCGACTGCTTTGCAAACCATGGGCTGCTCTCAGTCATGCCACCTGTCAG